GGAGGGGGCAGCTTCAAAGCGGCAGCACCACATGGAGTCAGGGACCAGACTCCGGGCTTCACATGGCACTGACGCTTTGATACACCGTGGGCAGCTTGGGGCCTGCTGGCATGCCCCAGCTGCACACGGCATTTCAAAGTGGAAGCGCCACGTGGAGCTAAGACTAGCTGGGGACTCTCTCACTCGCCCTGGGCTCTGACTCCGGGCTTCACATGGCACTGACGCTTTGATACACCGTGGGCAGCTTGGGGCCTGCTGGCATGCCCCAGCTGCACACGGCATTTCAAAGTGGAAGCGCCACGTGGAGCTAAGACTAGCTGGGGACTCTCTCACTCGCCCTGGGCTCTGTGTGACGTTGCCACTTTGAAACGCCACATGCAGCCTGATGTCGGGCTCCACAGCGCTTTCACCTTTGAAGTGTAGCAACAGCCCTACCAACTAATTGAACAGTTTATGCAAATTGCATCAACTATTTGATTAGTCAGTTAATCGAAATTTAACTTCCCTAAATTATATGCTTTAGAACAGTGTTTTCCAAACGATGTTCCGCGGAACCCCTAGGTTCCGCAAAGTGAAAATAAGGGTTCTGCGAGAAAATTCCATTACAATAACATTTTATGATTAAAAAATAATTAATATTTAAGCATTTATGAATTTTATTGAAAACTATTTTCATTTGTGTTGATCTCATGACCTTGTTTAGTATTTGTTTATTATTATCCTTACTTATTTGTGGTCTACTTTTTTCAGCTCCATTTATTAAACTGTTGTTAGGGGTTCTGCAAAAATTTTTCACCTTTAAAAGTGTTCCAGGGCCAAATAAAATTGTGAAACACTTCTTAGACAGCTCCCCTTTTTCATTGTATCTGCCCTGAAAGGGACTTCGGGTGTGCACACCAAGCACTGCATCAGTGCCAAGCCTGTTGCACTTCATCACTTGGCCCATTCGGATGTAGAGGATTTTCTGCTTCTTTCCACCACTCTTAAGCTTCACATAAACTTGCATCAGTTTAACATGAAAGTTGTCTACAAATGAGCAGTGTCCCTGGGCTGTTTGCCAGAAGCTGGCAATGGGCGACAAGGGAGCATTCCTTGTTTTCTTCCTTCCCTCTGAAACACTTGCCACCGTTGGAATACTGGGCTGGATGGATCTTTGGTCTGAGCCAGTATGGCAATTCTTTGTTGTGCTAGTTTAACTGATTTTTAAAGTGGTCATTTGAACCGATGTATGTGGGCACATAAGAACAGCCGTACTGGGTCAGACCAAAGATCCATCTAGCCCAGTAGTCTGTCTGCCGACAGTGGCCAACACCAGGTGCCCCAGAGAGGGTGGACTGAAGACAATGATCAAGCGATTTGTCTCCTGCCATCCTTCTCCAGCCTCTAACAAACAGAGGCCAAGGACACCATTTTATCCCCTGGCTAATAGCCTTTTATGGACCTAACTTCCATGAAATTATCTAGCTTCTCTTTAAGGCACTCATCTCATTTTAGCTTTCTTCTGTGGAGAAGAAGGAAAAAAAGTAAGAACCACCAAAATTAGACTGCTCTTAAATAAATAAATCTGCATGCCAGTGTGTGCCAGCTTAATTAAATCAGTTAAAAGCACACGTTAGTTAAACTCTTGAAGGTTGGTGTAGATAAGGCCTTAAGGGGCAGAATATGTAGTTTAGAGAGTGATGAAGGCTAAAGTTGAGCATCATTGTTAGGACATCAAGAATCAGGTGATACAGGGGCTAGGACGTAGCTACTGAGCAGGTTAATGCAGAAAGAAGCAAAAGCAGTGTCTGGATTGTTGTGATTGCAGAGAGCTAGAAAAGCTGGAGAGACAGCATTGTTCTATAGCAGGGGTGGGGAACCTCAAGCCTGGGACCAGATATGACCTCCAGTTTGCCTGGATCTGGCTCTCCAAGCTCAAGGGTCTCCCCCAGCATTGGGGAGCTCATGCTAGCACTCCAGTCTCCCCACTGCGGGGCTGGAGCACACAGAATCTATTAGGTTGGGCCCCCTTAGGGTCTGGTATGTGAGGGGAATGTGGGGAGTGTCTTTCTCCTTCTCAGTTGGGGGCCAGTCAATGAGGTGGTGGGTTTTTTTGTTTGGTTGGTTGGTTCGAACTTGCATGTAGCTCCTGACTGACTTTTCTGTGAGTCAGTGGCTTGTGACGCAAGAAAGGCTCCATCCCAGTTCTATAGCATTATTCAGCAAAAGAATAAAGTGAGCTAAGCAAATACATGAGTAAGGAAAGGCTTCCAATGAGTTGATGGCTGCAGACCTGAATCTGGGTGGCATGTCATATAGGTTGCTTTTGGATAAAATCCTCTGTCATAGTGGTCATATGAAAATGTAGTTAATTCTGTGGTAATAACTCAGTGCCCTCTCTAGGTGAAGCAGATCGAAAAGCGTGACTCTGTTTTAACACCGAAAAACCAGATTGAGAGATTGACCCGGCCTGGATCCTCTTATTTCAACCTGAATCCATTTGAAGTAAGTCTGAGACTTCTCATTGCCTCCTACCTAGAGATCAATCTGTACCTACTGGATATTTAGCTACCATTGAAAAATACAAGCAGGGCTCTTCAGATGGATTGTGTCCCCTCATGCTTCTTACTTAGCCAATAGGAAGCACAAACTGTACAGGCACCTCCTGCTGGCAGGTTTCACTGGTATGCTCTGTCACTGACAGACGTGGCAGGTATATGGCTGGCCTCTTCTGGGTGAGGGTATAAAACGAATGTTTTACTGGCTTCCGGTCTTCACAGTATCTTGACTCTGTTTATTACTTGTGTAATTTATTTTGTACATCTGAAGCAAAGCTTTAGAACAGTTGCTCTATGGAGTGAAGTTATGTAACTTTCAAGGCAGTAAGTAAATTCAAGTCAGTAACTCTGACATGGTAGAAGATCATCAAGTTGTGTGAAATGGGGGCGTGCCCCGTTTCTTTCAATGTAACATGCATATGTGCAGTAACAAAGCCTTCAAGCTGTGCTGTATGTATAACAGTAGCCTGAGATTCTGCCGGAACTGGCTCTTTGGAGGGTGCCTTTGTGCAGGTCTCCTGTTCCTTTCTACTCTCAGAAACTCAGCCTTTTATGTGTCTGAGTTTGAGCTAATGAGGGGCTCATTTGCTCTGTCTACCAGTGTGAGTCTGCAAGACACTTGGTTAGAAAGTGGATAATTTTTTTCAGAAACCCAACAGCTGCACAGAGGGTTTCCTCTCTAGAATTAAAGTTAACTGCCACTCAGGCAGCAAAACTCACCAGTCTGTTTTAATTTCAAGATGAGAAAAATGTGTAAGTCAAACAAACAGCATAAATGGGAAAGACTGACACAGATATTTGATCAGATCAGTGATAAAAAATGTTAGAAATTTTGGGCAGAAAACAGGTTGTTAAAAATCACTTAACCTGCCAGCTCCAATTCTCTCTTCTAGACGAGTTGAACTCTGTTGAAAGTGGAGTTAGGAACTAAAGGTGGCTTCCTGGCACCTCTGCCTCACTGAGATACTGGGGTTAGCGGGAGAATGAAACAGCAGCAGTTCTAGCCATGCACCCTCTGCAGCACACCTCTGCACTACCCGGAAGTCCCCCTTATATAAGCTGGAGATATTTCCAGGGTGGGGAGTTCACTTTCTTTTTGTTCCCGAATGCCAGGGAAACAGGTGTTACAGGGCTGGGCCGCAGGGAACCTGACAAAGAGTGCCTGTTGTGAAACTCTTTCTGCTCTGGATCCTTCTAGGTCTTGCAGATGGATCCTGAGGTCACAGATGAAGAAATAAAGAAGAGGTTTCGGCAGGTATGTGGCCATTGTATCTAGTTGTGGTGGTGCTGAATGCCTCTGGTAGGTCCTGAGAACTTGGTCAGCTTTGTGTGAGCATAAGGAGAATACCCATGAGGAACAAGCCCTTACGCTGTTTTGGAGCCGCTCTTGCTATCTGTAATGACTGAGGTGCATGTTGGCATCGCTGAGGAGTACTGTCCTGGATGAAACTGGATCTTAGTTTGACTAAGAGAGTGTTGAGGTGCCCAGTGCATATTTATATTGGCAAAGTCCCTGCCCCTGTCCCTACTTGTGGCTTGTATGTACAGCTAAGCAGTCCCAGGAGCACTGGGTTTAACAGAACAACTCTCATTCTTCTGGGGAACTTCCCAGTGTTGTGGGAGAATGGGATGTGATGAAGAGGATTCTACTCCCAGTGGTTGCATTGCGTCCACCCAAGCTCCCCTGTGGTCTGAGGAAATGAGTGAGGCCCTGAGTTATTTCTCAACATCTGTGATTGGCCGGCCTTAATTCTCTGCACTTTGCTTCCCTTACACAGTCAGGATGTTCAGGCCGCTCAGCTGAAATATCCTACACCCTAGAAATAACCTTGCTGAGGAACAGGGCATATTTATATGCAGCAGGGGACCTCTGGAGCAGCAGGACTTAAGGACAGGTGTTTGTGCTACACGGTGAGCAGCACAAGTGAAGGACTGAGTTTTCCGTCAGATGTGCTCTCCCTGAGCTCTTGTGGATATGCAGATTCTGATGCCCACCAGAAATTGAACCCTAAAACTGCCACTGATTAGAATGTTCTCTTAAGCCATTGGTCAGGCTTCTCTGAGTGGTGGAAGCTCTAGTTAGTCAATTTTCTCTTCACTAGGAGAGAATGAAGCAGTGTGATTTCTTTTTAGCCGATGCTTTTCTCCTGTCTGACGTTGCTTACCTCAGAAAGATGCCTCCATGCAAACAAGCATCTGACATATCCGTTATCTATAAAAACGATTCTAATTTTGTAAAATTTTTTCGTTCCTTGTAGTTATCCATATTGGTACATCCTGACAAAAATCAGGATGATGCTGAAAGAGCACAGAAAGCCTTTGAAGGTAATACCCTGACAGTGTCCCTTGTGGTGCTGTTGCACTAGTGTTTCTCCTTAGCAGGTTTTGATGCTTTAATTTAAATGCGGAAGGACCTATTTTCTTCCCTGGATAGTGAGGGACTGCAAACTGGGATGATTTTTAGTTTGTCTGACAGCTGCAGAATTCATGGCAGCAGGTGCTCTGCTACAGTCTGCTAATAGACAAGTGCCTTATAGGTCTAGTGGGACATCTCTAACTGGGACTGTGTGCAGGGCAGTATTTTGTGGATTTGGGGCCTGCAAGTTCCACTAAAGCCAGTCGGCATCATGCAGCATAAAACTAACCACCTGTCGCTCTAAAACCCACCATTTACTGGGACTGAGATTACCAAACCACATGAATAAGGTTTAGTTTTTGGCACAGATATTTTTAGTAAACATCATGAGCAATAAACAGAAATTCATGGACGCCTGTGACCTCTCCCTGATTTTCAATAAAAATATCCCTGACCAAATGGGGAAGCAGGATCAGCACCAATTGTTGCTGGGGCTCTCAGGTCCTCCCACTGCTGTGGTGAGTGGTAGCTCCAGGATGCGCCAGCATATGTGGAGGCTGTGCTGCTGCACAGTCTCCTTGTCCCTGGGGTGGCTGGATGCTCCGGAGGCCCCCACAACAGCTGGAAGATGCAGGGTCCCCTCGCTAGGGCAGGGGCTGGGAGTTGCGGGGTTGGCTGGGAGCTCCAGGCCTGGGGCAGAGAATGCCCAGATTTCTGGGAACTCTGTGACACACAAATGAATCCTAAATGTGGCCAAGTCTATATTGATATTTATTCTAGCTAGTTGGGTCTTGACTGACCTAGGAGATTCCTGGAACAAAGCCTACAGTAGTCACATGGTAGCTCAGACAGCGAGCATTCTGGGAAGATGTTTGCATATGTGTTAACTGAAGTGTTTTTTGTTAGCTGTGGACAAAGCATACAAGTTGCTACTGGACCAGGAGCAAAAGAAGAGAGCCTTGGATGTGATACAGGCAGGGGAAGAGGATGTGGAACATACTGTAAGTACTCAGTGTGTGACAGCCTTTGGTGCTCAGAGAATTGTTGTCCTTTAGTTGTACAGCACAATGTAGCTTAAGGCCAATAGGTGGGCTGCCCAAAACTGAGAATAGATCTGTGCCCCAAATAGCTACAGTCCAGCTGCATGAGCAAGAATTAACTTTAAACACAAGCTATTGGGCTCAGTACAGAGGTAACAAGGTGAAATGTAATTGCCTGTGATTCAGGGTTGGTCTAGATGGTCTAATAGTCCCTTTTGACCTTAAACTCTAAGAGGGAATGATACACAACAAACGGGAGAGAGAAGAGGGTGGTTAGAACTGGCCGTGTAGTGGGCAGTTGTGTTTTGGAAAGACACCTGCAAAGTGAAGGAGGGAGCTGAAAGGCTGACTCTGTTATCCAACCAGCATAACACACTAAGCTTGAGAAGCAAGCTGATTAGGGGACCCTCAGGAGACTTTCGAAAACCATGGTTCTCAACCTGTTGACCATTGTGGGTTGTATCCACTGCTATCTGTATGGCCCTGAGGATGCCACATGGGCTGCAGGTCTGTGCTGGTTGGGCTGCAGGTTGAGAATCAGGACTTAAACCAAGGAACTCTTCATCTGTTCTGCTAGCTGTTGTGGTGAATTTTCAGTAGGCTGGCACAAAGCGTGTGTGTGTGTGTATGTATGTATCTAGAGGCATAGCACTTAGGTGTAACGTAAAACACAAATTCATCAGGTAAAGGGCTCTCTGCAAAACACCAACATACATGGGTGTGTCTGGGGTTGCAAAATTAGCTGGACACCTCTATCCTAACCCCTGTAACCTGCACTTTTTGTTCTGATGGATGGTGCTCTTTAGGTGAAAGAGAAAAAGAAGCTGCTAAAGAAGGAAGGAAAGCCAACCAACGTTGAGGAGGATGACCCGGAAGTAGTAAGTTGCATAAGAACGGATATTTTTGGTACAGTTTAAAGAGGCTGAGTACATAACACTGAGGCTACATCTACATTGCGCGCTCTTGCACAAGAACATACCCAAATGAGGTGTGGCGATATTCATTTGCATACATTCTTGTGCAAGAAAGCGCAGTGTAGACATAGCCTGAAGGTTTGTGTGCATCGTATCTCAGGACTTCAAAGAGGAATTGGTTCTTGTCCCTGTGCAGTTTTAAGTAACCCATTCCCAGTCAAGCCATTCCAGTTTCTTGCATTTGGAGGGTAAGGGACACCTGGAACAGGTAACCATCTTGGCTGATAGCCACTGATGGAGCTGTCCTCCATGAATTTACCAAATGGTTGTTTGGGTTTTTTTTAACCCATTTATACTGTGGCCTTCACAACTTCCCGTGGTAATTGTGTTACATGAAGAAGTACTTCATTTGTTATAGTTTTAAACCTGCTGGTGGTTGATGTTATCAGGTGACCCTAGTTTAGCATTATGTAAAGGGGTAAATAACACTTCTCCCATTCACTTTCTCCATACCAGTCATGATTTTAAAGCCTCTGTCATATCAGCCATTAGTCATCTCTTTTCTAAACTGAACTGTCCCAGACTTCTTACTCTTTCCTTGTATGGAAGCTGTTCCAATAATTTTTGTCTCTATATCTTTTCTAATATCTCTTCTTTGAGAGAGGGTGACCAGAACTCCATATGGTATTCAAGGTGCTGGGTGTGCTATGGATTTATATAGTGGTGTTAACAATATTTTCTGTCCTATTATCTATCTCTGTCCTAATGGTTCCTAATATTCGGTTGCTTTTTTGACTGCTGCTGCACATTGAGTGGATGTTTTCAGAGAACTGTCCACAATGGTTCCAGACTAGAAGTCAGTTAGATGGTCACGATGGTCTCTTCTGACCTTGGGAATCTGTGACTCCATTAAACAGTTTTTATTTCTACCGTGGTACAGAAATATGTATCTGGGGTTTGGAAGTGAGTACAGCATTACAGGAAAACTGATCAGTGAGCATGCTATATAACAGGGGTGGGGAACCTTTTTTGGGTTGGGTCCCCGACCCACAGACAGATTAGTTGGGGGCCGCACTCAAGTGAGAAACCAAAAAAATCCCAAACCCTCTCTGACATGGTCCCCAACTGAGAAGCAGAAAGACACTCCCCACATTCCCCTCACACACCAGAGACTAGAAGTGCCCAGCCTACTAGATTTTGTGTATTCCAGCTCCACGGTGGGGCAAGCAGGGGACTAGAGCACCAGTGCTGGCTCCCCAATGCTTGGGGGCCCCTGAGCCTCGGGGGCTGGATCTAGGCAAGCTGGGCCTGAGATTCCCCACCCCTGCTATATAACCATGTGGGCTCTAGCTGAGTATGTAACTCCTATCTAAAATTAATGCAATTAATGTAATTGTGTAGCTTTATTCTGTTAATGTCCAGAGTTAATACCCTGCTAGAGGCCTGGTTGGTTCACCGATTTAGGCCTTCATTATTTGGCCAATATCCCATTTTACTCTGTTTCTAGTACTGGGCATTTCTACGTCACTGCATTTTGTGCAGTAGAATAATGACGTCCTTGATGCCAACAGAAACATGAACAGCTTGGAGAACTCAGTGTGGTCCTGTAGGCTGCAATACGTTTTTGGTTCAATAGCCTCTTCTAAACCACATGAGTCTCAAAATCTTAGACCTCAGTGGTTCAGGAGCCAGATTACTGTTCAGCATTACCCAATTTCAAACCTGTTTCAACATTGTGAAATGCACAAGCTGACATGGTGTTCTCCAAATGGCAGACATAAGAACCAGATGGACATCTGCCTGTGAAAATTCACATTTGTCATTGATCACCATATGGTCAAAGCGAGAGAGGAACAGATGATGGCAACAGCCATCACCCTGTGACAACCTTTATCAAGCTAAAACTGAGACGTGTGGGTTGACCAAACAAGGGACATGGACATTAAGACATTGACAAGCTAAAATTCCCTGAAGTATAGAAAATCTTTGTTTTTGCATTTCAAGAATAAGTTTCAGGCATGTGCAGGCCTTGATAAAGAGGTGAATTCAGATGAGGAGACCATCAAGAAGTGGGATAAAACAACAGCAATTTATAAACAAAGCAGTGAAGCCTGTGTAGGCTGCAGGCAGAAGAGAAGGAAGAAGCGGATTACTCAGCATGTAGAATGTCATGTGAACCAGACAAGCCTTGAAGAAAAAGTTTTAGGCACAAAATCCCAGAAGCTAAAGGACTAATACAGTAATTCCTCATTTAACACTATAGATGTGTATCTGTTAAAGATCGTGTTAAGTGAAAACATGTTATGCGGGGTCAATTTTCCCGTTTAAAATAATGGAAAAGGTGGGGGTTGCGTTTGCGCTTGCGGCTCCAGCTTGCAGGACCGGGACATCAGGTTGGGGGAGAAAGGGGACTGGGGAGGTGTTTGGCTCTGGGGAAGGGAAGGACAGGGGAGGGAGCTTGCAGCCAGCGGCTGGGTTTCCCCAGCTGGCCGGTTGTTTTTCAAACAACATGACCCTGTCCCCACAATAACACCATTTCCCCTAGGGCCGGCCAGCAGCCAGCAGCTGCATGAGGCTTCCCCTGCCTCCTTACAAAGCGGCGGAGGTTTGCTGCTCGCAGCGCCATTCCCTGGTGACCCCCTCTGGCCAGATGCCTTGCATCCGGCCAGAGGAGGTCACCGGGGAATGGCGCGGATGAGCTCTTCCTTAACTGGGGTGTTTGTCGTGATACCAAGATCTTTGTCTGCCTCCCAGATATTTGCCTCCTTTAGGTAGCTCCCTAATCAGCAATTCTTTGAAAAACTCTGTCCAGCGTATTCCTTGTTCTTCTATTGAGAGTGTTTGCTGCTATTTACCCCTGATATGTTGCGTTATTTTGCAGATGGTTCCTTGTTCACTATGAGCTGCTGCATTCTCTGCTTGTGTTGCAGGATTATCAATATAATGTCATTTCTTGGCTCTTACAAGGTATTTGATCTCCCAGTGTGCCTTGCTATACTTAGCAAGGCACACTGGGAGATCAAATACCTTGTAAGAGCCAAGAAATGACATTATATTGATAATCCTGCAACACAAGCAGAGAATGCAGCAGCTCATAGTGAACAAGGAACCATCTGCAAAATAACGCAACATATCAGGGGTAAATAGCAGCAAACACTCTCAATAGAAGAACAAGGAATACGCTGGACAGAGTTTTTCAAAGAATTGCTGATTAGGGAGCTACCTAAAGGAGGCAAATATCTGGGAGGCAGACAAAGATCTTGGTATCACGACAAACACCCCAGTTAAGGAAGAGCTCATCCAAGCCATCACATGGGAAAGCTCCTGGCAAGGATAACTTGAATGCAGGACTGTTCAAGGTGAATTTTGAGTTGGCAGCATCTTGCCTGGCCCCTTTGTTCATAGCAGTCTGGGAAAGACAATGTGCCAGATGAGTGAATCCATGGGGTGTTAGTGAAGATAACAAAGAAAGGTGTTCTCAGATAAAAGTGTGATATTACAAAGTACTGCGTAAAATCATAATCCAGCATTTATCAGAGATAGTTGATAGCCTTCTCAGAAAAAAGCATGCCGTTTTTTGGAAAGGGCATAGATGCACAGACCAGATCTGCGCTCTACAAAATGTATTACATTAAAACTCCAGTGGTCCGGCACTCCTGATGGTCCGGGAAGTGCTCGGGGCAGCCGGACAATTGAAGCTGCTTTGCCCCCGGCTTCCCTGATTCAGATGCTGCTGAAACTGACCAGCGGCTGACTTGGGGAAGTCTGAGGCAGAGCAGCAGAGGTGCTGCCGGGTTGGTCCCGCAGCGCCGAGGGGTGCATCCTCCCCCCCACACTCCACCCCAGACCCCTCATAGCCCCCCCCTTCCTATGGTCCGGCATATCTGATAATCCGGCACCTCCTGGGTCCTAAAGGTGCCGGATTATCGGTAGTTTACTGTACAACAAAGCTTAGCATGGCAACAGCAACGCTACATAAACTTCATAGACTGTTAGAAGGCATTCACAGGGCTAGCCTATGGCCCATTCGGTGGGCATATGGAATCCCTCTGCATGTAATCAACATAATCAAAAGCTTCTCTTTCAACTTTATGTGTAGTTTTGATCACAGTGAGCTCAGTTTTGAAGTCAAAACAGGAGTACAAGGGATGTGTCCCATCTGCAATCCTCTTTAACACTGCCATTGACTAGGTAATGCAACCTACAACAGAAGATGTGCCAAGAGGCATTAAATGAACACCCTTCTCATCTCTTGAGACCTGCACTTTGCAGATGATCTTGCTCTCCTATCACGTACTCAACACTGTATATGAGAAAAAACAACTCAACTCAATGCGTTCACCAAGCAAATTGGATTGAAAATCAACTGCAGTAAGACCGGTATCATGACCTTTAATATTCCCCCATCATCATCTGTGTGGTAGAGAACTACGTTCTCACTAACATAGAAATATTCACATACTTGGGCAGCACCATCAGCCAGGACAGTGGAACAGGCCAGGAAATCCAGAACAAAATCAGGAAAGTCAGGAACACCTTCAGGGGCTTAAATACAATCTTGAAATAATCAGTATACAACGCCAAAATCAAACTCAAGATTTTTCAGCGTTGTGTATTTTCAACACTACTTTATAGTGCAGAATGCTAGGGCATGAGAAGGCATGGCATGCCCAAACCATCTTCTTTCCGCATAACTTGCCTCAGAAAAATCCTGCATATCTTTTGGCCCACCTCTGTTGATACAGTGCAACCAAGAGGATATGAGCACCATCATTGCCAGCAAGCATTAGGCCATGTGCTTTGGAGGGAAACTGATTCCATCGTCGAAGTTGCAATAAGATGACACCTGAAGGCAAGAGAACACAATGCCAATCAAAAATGACATGGCAAAGAGCAGTGGACAGCGAGCTGTAAAATCTGGAGCACAGCTAGACTTGCCAGAAACAGACAAGGGAGAAGGAGCTTCATTGCTGCCCTAAGTGCTAGAAGTGTAATGGGAACATGAGGATGAGGATGATGCCGTAAAAGAGCCGCCCTAGTGTGAGTGAAGGGTAAATGTTTAGCTTATACTCACACACTTACTCTTCTCACAGTAAAAGGTTAATAGTTTAGTGCAAGTTGATAACCTGATTGATTAATAACGTGTGGCAAGGAGCTACAGGAGATGCATTAAAGAGCCACTTGCAGCTCAACAATGACAGTACAAGATAGTAAAAACACTTGATGTAAGTTCATAGCTGTTTTTTTGCGAAGTGGAAGCTGGAGGTTCATGTCTCTGCTTCTGGGGTGCTCTGCCATTGAGCTCACAATGCAGTCTGTTTCTATAGATATTTAGAAACTAACAGATGTTCTACTAATTTCAGTCTTTGGTTCTTATAAAGGGATTTTCTATTGACAGCAACAGAAGAGCCCCCAGGGAAGTATTACTGTTTACTTTCCATTTGTTTCCAGAAGTTCCTTGCTCTGTGTGTTGGTTATTAATGGTTCTTTAATACCCAGGGTTCCCATTTAAAACCCAGGGTTTAAAATACCCTTTAAACCCCAAGGTTCCCATTTTCAGGCCATTTTTTAGTGTTTAATGATTACGCAGTGAAGTCCTTAATACCTGGGTAGAACTCTTATGACCTTTCCGTAGCAGCTGGCATGGCTGCACTGTAGGACTCGATAGAAGTCTTGTGTGGGAGAGCTTTGATTTAGACTCTGCTTTAGTAATAGCAAGTGGAAGAAAGATCAGGATTGGATAACAAGGAATTCTTTTCTGGTGCAGGCCATCATGAGGGGTGTCTCCATTCTGCCCCCCCCCCCCCCTTTAGCTGGATTGCTAGTGGGGCTGGCCCTCTTATAAATTAAGGGAGCATGAAACTACAAGCATTAAAATTCAGTCATGTGGTATGTGATTCTGCCCTGCTGTGATCCTTGACTTCCTTGCTGTGAGAGCACCTCCACCCCTGAACACTTTCCCCTTCCTTTCCCACCAACTGCAGAACTTAGGAGCGGTACACTTCTTTACTCTAGCCCGTCACACCCGCTAGTTGTGCGAGCAGCTGCTGGCAGTGAAGATCCGGAGGAAAAGGGAAATTTTCCCTTGAACAAGAAAAGGCTGGAGTCGTCTGCTGACCTGCGAGGTCAATGGAATTGCATTAACTTGGATGCCAAGAGATGAGCTTTGATGCCACACCACGTTATGAGTAATGCTCCTTGACTGTTAGTCTCCCATGGAGCTTTTTACTTGTCCCTAATAATCCCTGGATGCTAGAATGTAGAACTGCAAGGCTAGTGCACAACAGAGGCTTCTGTAACCACATTACAATGCATAATGTTGTTGCAATAAAGTTCTGTTATTTACAGTTCAAACAGGCTGTGTACAAGCAGACGATGAAGCTCTTTGCTGAACTGGAAATTAAAAGGAAAGAAAGAGAAGCTAAAGAGATGCATGAAAGGTATGAGCAACACTCAAGAGCCCTCTGTGTGAATGAGGATTTTTTTTTCAAGTTTACTGAGAAGAAATTCTGTGTGTGTAAATTTACAGTGTGGAGACTTGGTTCTTAAAGACAACATTATTTTAATCTGAGGACGCTGGCATTTCCCAGAGGAAAAATTAAATATATTGGCATATATATTTGTATGTAAATAGTATGCAAAGGGCTGAATTCCAAATTTCAGTTATGTGCCTGAAATCTGTTGGGTATTGTGTGGTGTCATATGGACCCATCCATGTCCTGGTGGGTCATATGTGTTTTACATGGTCTAGTCTGTGTGTATATTCTGCCCTTTTCATCTGTATGGCTTGAAAGTAGGTCTTGTATCAATCATGCTACCTTGCACTAGGGATGTTTAATAGTCGATTAACCTCATGAATTCTTATCGGTTAGGTGACTAGTCTGTAGTCCCCAGGCAGCCCCTGTCCAGGGGGAAGGGTCTAAGCTCCGAGACCCAGCACGAGCTGGAACTGAACCGGGATGCCTACCCACCTGGCTCCTAATACATTTTAAATGCAGAGCTGCAGCAGGGGTAGGTCCAGGACGCAGTGCAAGCTGGGACCGAGCTGGGCTGCTGGCAGCCTGCTAAAAAATTTACTGGCAAGGGATGGGGGAAATGCGTGTAATCTATAGCATTAACCTATAAGCTTTTGCTTATTGGTTAATTGGTTAATCGACTAAACTGTTACATCCCTACCTTGCACTTCTAACTATATGTTTAGAAGTGAGTATTTCATCCATTCGTTCTGAGAAGCAGTTACTCTCCCCATCGTGGTCAGAGCAGATGTCTCTGTGGTGAGGCCTTGTGTTAATATTTAATGTAGATGCTGGTGGGTCCATAACACGGCTTTATGGCCTCTTGTACAGGAAGCGACAGAGAGAGGAGGAAATTGAAGCCCAAGAGAAAGCCAAGCGAGAGCGAGAATGGCAGAAAAACTTTGAGGTAATCTGCAGCATAACCCACCTGCATTTAGGGGGTCAGGTCCACTGTGGGGTAGGCAGCAGAGCATGTACATGAGGAACAAGGAAAGCCATCCCATCTGCGGATGGCACAAGGCATTCCAAGTAGCACATTTTAATGAAGGATCCTGTAGCTGCCTTATTCATGGGCAGGAAGAACATCCTTGTGTGTCTCATGGGTGCTGATGGGGCATCTCACAACCAGGGAAAGATTGAGACCCCCTACCCCTTCTCAGTCTGGTGAATTGCAGTCCATTGTTTTTCATCTCCAGGTCATGAACTGATACTGGCCAAGTCAGGAGAGCACATTTCCTCTGAGCCTGCATCATTGCTGGCCAGTGGTGGTTAACTTCTGAGGGCTGCTTAACAACCAGTGTGGAATTGGTCAGGGGGTCTCGGGCTGATTCCTGGTGGTCAGGCGCTCACATCACAGAGTATCCAAGACCGAAAGGGGATAGGGGTGGAGCTCCTCTGTAAGTGTACTGATGTCGGGAACTGGTGTGACTGACACTCTAGCTGGGAGAGAAGTGTTAGAGCATGTGAATCTTGCTCAGAGCCTAGGTGTGGGGCTGGAGTTGGAGACATTTCCTGAGCTTGTTTCAGATTTCTTGTTCCAAGGAGAGATTCGCCTCTGGGTGCTCAGTGCTGCAAAACAAATGTTTTTGCTTCAAACAAAATTTGGACCTGAAAAGTGACCCTGAAAATGGCACCCTAGCTTTCCCTGTTCCACTGAGTTCACAGATAAAAAGCTTTTTCTGGCTGCCACTGCACTGTGCTCCTGCTGGTCGCTCTGGCTCTTTCTGGCATGCGCGTCAGCACCAACAACTGAGGTTTGGCCACCAGAATGTGGTTAATTGTTCTAGCATGCGAGCCAAAGGGGGAATCTAACTCCCCTCCCAAAGCTGGGAGGCTCGGAGAGGTAAGTTAACCTCACTTTGTGTTACTGAAGCCAGCAGCTCTGACAGCTGCACGTAGGGAGCCACTCTGTGGAGTAGGAAGAACCACATTTATAACTGCACTTTATATGTAAACTGGACCCAGGCTTATCTTTTTGAATGGATTCCTTTTTCTATTAATGCTCCTGCCACATCTCCATCTGATTCACTAGTATTTGTGCATGTTTGTCTCACTTTCCTCTCTGCTGCCTGTGCTCCAGTGTGTCTACTTCCTGGAATTCTAGGTGTCAGGAAGGGAAAGATTCAAGTTGTGCCTTATCTGTCCCTGGGCAGTAAGAGATGGTTTCCTATAGGGCATTTGGCAGGGTTTGGCTGAGATATTTTGAGGTGACCTGCAAAAGAGAACTCTCCAGGGCTCCTCCCTTTGGCTGCCCTGAAAGTTCTCTTAATTTTTCATGCTTTGTTCTTATGTCAGATTCTGATCGTCGCGTAGCTTTTGTTTTAAGAGATTGAGTGTTGTGACATTAGCAGTCAAACAGAAATGCAACTGAACAACTGAAAAGGGATTTTTCTTCTGGCAGTTGAAAATTTGGGTTTTGTTTAACCCATTAAATTCACACGCCTTGTAGACATTGGTGAGAGAAGCTCGTTTCTCAAGGCATAGCTTTCTCCACCTGTTCAGCAGAGTCCTCTGCTCAAATGGAGAAGCAAGTCTAGACAGTCTGGATATTTGCAGGGTTAAAAGCAGGAGGAAGAAACGCTTTTTAAAAAGCTCCAAATCCTGTTTGGATGTTGGCAGCAGTAGGCAGAGTCTGCACTTCGGTGTAGGTTGTCGTCCTGGACCTAGCCCTGGGATGGGGCTGTGAAATTGTTGGCTTGGTACTTGTGGTCCTTTCCCTAATGTTATAAGAACATAAGAATGGCCAGACTGGGTCAGACCAAAGATCCATCTAGCCCAGTGTTCTGTTTGCTGAGAGTAGCCAATACCACATCCTCAGAGGGAGGGATCATAACAGGGAATCCTCACGTGATCCCTCCCCTGTCTCCCACTTCCAGAGAAACAGAGGCCAGGGACACCATTCCTATAGCCATTGATGGACCTAACCTCCATGAATCTATCTAGCTCTTTGCTGAACCCTGTTAAAGTCCTGGCCTTCACTGCATCCTCTGGCAACGAGTTCCACAGGTTGACTGTGCACTGAGAGAAGAAAAACTTTATTTTGTTTTAAACCTGCTGTCTATTAATTTCATTTGGTGACCCCTAGTTCTTATATTATGGGAATAAGTAAACAACTTTTCCTTATTCATTTTTTCCATACCAGTCATGATTTTATAGACCTCTATCATACGTCCCCTTAGTCTCCTCTTTTCTAAGCTGAAAAGTCCAAGTCTTTTTAATCTCCCTTCATATGGGACTCGTTCCAAACCCCTAATAATTTTTGTTGCCCTTTTTGGAATCTTTCCCAATGCCAGTATATCTTTTTTGAGGTGAGGTGACCATATCTGTACACAGTATTCAAGATGTGAACATACCATGGTTTTATACAGAAGCAATAAGATATTTTCTGTCTCATTCTCTATCCCTTTTTTAATGACTGCTAACATTCTATTTGCTTTTTTTACTGCCGCTGCACACTGAGTGGATGTTTTCAGAGAACTATCCACAGTGACTTCTTGAGTATTTGTAGCCAAATTATTCCCCATCATATTGTGCATGTCTAGTTGGGCTTATGTTTTCCAATGTGCATTACTTTACATTTATCAACATTTAATTTCATTTACCATTTTGTTGCCCAATCACTTAGTTTGGTGAGATTTTTTTGAAGCTCTTCACAGTCTCCTTTGGTCTTAACTATCTTGAGCAGTTTGGTATCACTTTGAGAATGTTGCTACCTCACTGTTTACCCCTTTCTCTAGATCATATATAAACAAGTTGAATAGGATGGGACCCAGGACAGACCCTTGGGGGACCCCTCTAATTACCTCTCTCCTCTTGGAAACTGACGATTTATTCCTACCCTTTGTTTCCTGTCTTTTAACCAGTGCTCAATCCACGATAGGACCTTCCCTCTTATCCATGACAACTTACTTTACTTAGGAGCCTTTGGTGAGGGACCTTGTCAAAGGCTTTCAGGAAATCTAAGTACCCCACATCCACTGGATCCCCCTTGTCCACATGTTTGTTACCTCCCTCAAAGAACTCTAGCAGATTAGTAAGGCAGGATTTCCCTTTACAGAAACCGTGTCTGTTACATCCCTCGACCAAAGTATGAGATAAGTGACTAGTCAACTATCCAATAAGCATAGTTGCTTCCCTCCCCCCCTTGCTACCTCTGTCAGAAGCCGGTTTCCACCCCAGCACCATTTCCCCGGGGGGTGGGGACAGGGGAGGCAGAGGACTGGGTGTGAGCCGGGAATTCGCTATCCCAGCTCGTGCCTGGTTCCCCCCATGCCATGGTGTTTTAGCCTTTTAAATGTATTAAGGGTCTGGCTCTTAATTTAAAAGACAGAGCCGCAGCAGGGTTAGCTCCCAGCCCCTGGCTAGCACAGTGGTGCTAACCCCACTGCGACTGTGCAGTTCCCCCCTTATCAACTAATCGACTAGTCGATGGAAATTCTATTGACTAGTCAATTAGCTGATTAAAAACCATTTAACATCCCTACTTTAGTTCTTCTCTGTGTTCCTTGTCTTCTGAGTTGGTCTGGATCAGGTGAATTGTCTCCTCCCACCCTGGGTGGCTTTCTGCTTTGTGCTCCCTCCTGCCCTTCCAAATGTGCACAGCTTTATTTTACAGTTGTAATTGTTAAAGTTGGCATATGTGGCTCAGTGGGGGCCGTTTAGGCCTGGCTTGAGAACTGAGCCATTTACAGCAATTGCTGTGAAGAAAAGCAGGCTGGAGCATCCCACCCTGCTCATGCACTTGCTGAAAATTTTCGTTCACACAGATTCCAAGCCTGGAAAATTTCCCCCAGTTGGGAGTATTAAATCTGGGCTCTAGGATGGAAGCTGTTTTGCAGCTCTAGCAGAGAACTGGGGCCACTGCAGCGTGACCATGGCCAGGCTCCCCAGCCTGAGGTCCATCGTGTTAGTGTTAGTCCAGGCACTTGGGATACCAGTTTAGTGATCTGTGTAGAAACTGGCCTAGTTAAAGCAGGACTATCCCTTCGGGTGGGTGCAGTAGGTATGAAAATGCCCCACTCCGAGATAGCTCATTTCTCTAAATGTGTGGCCATGTGTTCTACTGGCTTAAGTCTCTTCATATCCGGGTAATTCTGGCCACCCCAGGGGACTCTACTGCTCTATTGTGGTTAGAAAGTTTTCATCCCAGAACTGAAATGGGTATGAAATCTGTCTAGACCTGCCCTGGTTCAGGATGGCCTGAAGGCCTTAGTTAGCACGCTGGGGCAGGCTCTATGCTTGTCCTGCTTGCTGCGTGCTGCTCAGATGGTGTGCAGGCAACCCCTCCCTCCCCCAACACTCCCTTTTCTATCCCACTGTCTGCAGCCTGTTGAGTTGATAGGGGCAAGCTCTGTGGGATGCCCCACTGGGGCCTGGACTCGCTGAGCCAGGTGTCCCTTCCAGTCATGTCTGAGAGCTGGTGGAGGAGGAGAGGAAACATACGGCTTTCCTGTCTCTGTTGAGGGCTGGCTTGGGAAGCGGGTGGTGCAAAGGGAGAGGCTGAAAGAGCAGTGGCTAGGGTGCAGGTTAACATTGGCACAGAGGCCTACAGGGGTGTGAAGGAAGGCTCTGGTCTGTGACCTATGACTCAGCTGTTCGGGGCTGATTGGTCAGTGACTTGAGGCAGAGGTTGGAAGTGAGGTTCTTGTTGGCTTTGTGGTAATGAGGATTTGATGGCCCCAGTTACTGCTGCAAACCCTTTGCTGGTCTCTGCTAGAGCAAAACTACTCTGGCACCAGTGGCTGGAAGCCATCCAGCAGCTTCCGTTGGTCCCGGCCGCGGGCCCGACCGGATTCATGGAGATGGAAAACGCCACTTACTGTGATTCTGCTCTTGTGTGTGCTCTAACCCTCCACTGGACAGATTTCACAGGGTGTCTCTGATTGGGGGTCCTGACCCAAAAGGGAGTGGCAGGGACGCAAGGTTATTTTAGAGGATTGCAGTATTGCCACCCTCACTGTCTTCAGCGCTGTTGGGTACTTTGCTCTGAAGGCAGCACCCTGCGGTATCGTGCCTGGCCATCCTTACTCTTGTGCTGCCGCTGCCAGAGCTGCGCTCCAGGCCAGCAGCTGCTGCTGTCTAGCTGCTCAGTTCTGAAGGCAGTTACATGGTGTGATGCCCTGCCTGCTTCTGCCCTGCTGCTTGGAGGTTCTGCCTTCAAAGCGAAGCACCTGGCCAACAACCGCTGCTCCCCTGCCTTGCCCTCTTCAGAGCTGCACAGCAGCAAGGCTGGCCAGTCGCCACCTCTGCTTAGCAGGAGGAAGGGGGCAGTACCAGTTTCCCCTTACGAGCCCTCACAGCACCGTTGTGGGACAGGGCCCCCACAACTGCACGGTGACATTTCAGGTTGAAATAGCTTAAAAATGACACAATTGATACTTTTCAAAACCTGGGACACTGAAATTGAGCAGAATAGGCCGGATTTCGCTAGGGCCCTAGTCACCTGCTCTTCAGTGCCTGTCTGTGTCCAGCTCCCAGCGGCTGGCAGTCGTGTGCACTCTTGCTAGGGCAGTGGTGATTGCTGCTTCCCCCCTTACCCTGGTCTGCACCCCTCCCTCCTTGGCAGCCATGGCTGGGGCTGGAAGAGTGGCCAGGGCCACAGATGGGAGACTGGTTTGGAGCTGGACTTGGTGGAATTCGCTCCCATTTCTTGTGGGCCTGGCCCAAGCCCGACCATGTGCTCTGTGAGGGGTGCACCCCACAGTTTGGGGCCACGGTGCTAGGGGGTGGTGGTGGGCAGCGCCCTGTTCTGGGTGAGGAGGAGAATGCCAGCAATCAGCTAGAGTTGGTAGGAGATGACCCATTCTTGGCTCTTGTTACTCTTCCTCCTCCTCTGTCCTGCTCAGGAGAGTCGGGATGGTCGTGTGGACAGCTGGAGAAACTTCCAGGCAAATACAAAAGGGAAGAAAGAAAAGAAAAACAGGACCTTCTTGAGACCCCCCAAAGTAAAAATGGAGCAGCGCGAATGAGTCTGGCAGCAACTATGCACGAGCAAGTCTCCTCTGCCCCTCCCGCTTTTAAGGACTTACTGGCCTCTAGAGTAATACTTGCTTTTCGGTAGATTGCTTTGTTCAGTACAATTGAATATTGGTCAAAAGTATTTTTTGTACTCTGTACATTGAATTAGGGCCATGTTATAAAATCAGTCATGAACCAGCTGCTCGTAGAATAACTGGCTTATGAGGGTCCCGCTCTTGTTACTGTCCTGTTGGTTTGCAGCCCTGTAATTTAATGTTTTGTCCTTCAGAGATTGTGTTGTTCCTCCACCTTCATGTATAGTTTTGTGAGAGTCGAATTGAACGAGATGCTGAAATGGTGCCTGTCACATTCCCGGGCCTTGCCCTCAGCGAGTCAAACTTTGGAAACTGTCTACCAGCGGGGAGTCATTTGCCAGCTTGACGTGCATGGGGGGCTTGAACCTGCCTTGGAGTTGTGCAGTTAAATCTCCTGTAGCCTCCCCCCCCACACCCCACGTCACCTCACATCACCTCACCCCACCCCACCCTAAGCGTGTGGTGCTGAAAGCCACAGCCTGTATCTGACTCCTAAGCTGCAGTCTCTTGGCTCTCCTGTTCAGAGCTTTGGGAATCTGACTTGCTAGTCACCTTCTGTAAAGAAACCTCTTTTCTCTTGTTGAATAGTCAGCAGCGATGTTCTGTATGTAAAATAAATTTTTACCCAGATTATTTGATTCTTGCTCCGAATCATTCCAAAGGTGCACATTTGAGCTGTTGAGAGAGAACATCAGCCTGGGTACTTGGCATGTCTTTGTCGGGTGTGAATGCTTCTGGCTCCTAATGACAGCTTGCAAGCAGGTCACTGTCAGAACCGCTGTGACTCCATTGTGGAGAGTGGAGATCCTTTCTCTGTGGCTCTGCTCTGGCACTGCGTTCTCTCAGCAAAAGCAATGGGCGTTAGTGTGCTGAGGGCAGAGTCCGGCTGACGAAGAGCAGAGCGGCTCCTGCTCCAGGAGTCCCCCTCGCTGGCGCCTCTCGCCCTGGGGATGCAGATGCGGGACAGTCTGCCATCACTGCTGTGCATCGGAGCAATTGGGGAAAGGCCTGCCAACGAGCACTGCTGGTTTTCCCCGGAAGTAGGAGCCGTTGGTTGAGACGACGTGGCCACTGCCTGCTGTGGCTGCCTAGAGCGTGTTTGCGAGTGGAGTTTCCATCCATCTTGCTTAGTCTGGTTCTGGAGCTTTGCCACATGGGCTCCCTCCCCTTGCAGCTGGTAATTGGGCCCTTTTGTTTTAAACCAGCTACCCGTTAATTTCATTTGGTGACCCCTAGTTTTTATGTTATGGAAGCAAGTACATACTTTTTCCTTATCTACTTTCTCCACACTGGTCATGATGTTATAGCGTTCTTTCATATGCCCTCTTAGGAAAGAATAAGCTGAAAAGTCCCAGTTTTATTAATCCTGCCTCCCATGGCTGCCTTTCCAAACCTCTAATCTTTTTTGTTGCCATCTTCTGAACCTTTTCCATTGCCAAGGGATTTTTTTTGGGATGAGGTGACCACATCTACACGCAGTATTCAAGATGTGGATGTACCATGGTTTTATGTAACGGCAGTAAGATATTCTTTATCCCTTTTTAAATTATTCCCAACATTGTTTGCTTCTTTGCCTGCTGCTGCACATCCTGCTGGTCTCTCTTAAAAGATGAAACCAGACCTCTCGCTCACTGGGGGAGCAGTCGCCGTCTCCCTGAACACAGGAGCTGGCACAGTGTCCCCCTCGAGGTGAGCTGGAAGTGCAGATGCTGGTGTGCCAGCCACTTTCCGAGTGGATCAGACTCTGCTGAAAGTCGGAGCGTGTCCATTTCCGTAGCCCTGTGGCTGGGGAACGTGTTACATCTGGCCAGAGTCCTGGGGCCAGGAATAACGTGCAGAGACCTCTCGAGTTAAGTGAAGGATACTTGCTGGGTGTTCACGCTCAGAGAGGTGGGTTTCACGCTGTGCACTCCTCCCCCATGCCCTTCCTTGCACCCAGTTAGCTAGAGCCCAGTGTGGTTACAACATTGGTATCCGCATCCATTCCCACTGAACCGAGTCACAGCTTTCAGCACTGACTGCCACAGGTCTCCAGACACTTGCAGTGTTCTGCACATAGCAGCCCTGGGACAGAGGGATGGGAAGCACCACACCCCTTTGCTAGCCCAGCTGAGGCAGCATGAGCTCATGGGTGTTCTCGACTGAAGGGAAAATGGCCTAGAAGCAGGGGAGCCAACAGCCGCCATGGGCAAGGGGGAGACCTCTGGTGGAAGGAGCTGGACTGGGAGAAACCCGCCCTCTGTGGTGCTGCCGCCCCGAACTCAGAGCTACAGGGAGCGTGCAGCGTGCACACCAGCAGCCATTTACAGGGCCCAGGACTCTGGTCCCTGCTGCAGCAGCCAGGAGCCCCAGACCCGTTTGAATTTCCTCCCGTTGGCAGGCCTGCCTCGAAGCAAAAGGGCCGTGGGTCACGTCCAAGGAGACGTAGTAAGTAGGAAAGGTTCCAAGGCTGTGGCCTAAGGGCTCGTGCACAAGGGAGACTCTTCAGAGACAGCTACTGCATGTTAATTTAGGGTGAGGCAACGTGGCTAGAACGTGTGTCGCACGTTGCTTTACGGGTGCTCCCACACTGGGGCTCGGCGGCCCAGGCAGCATTAGTGTTGCTTGTCCCAAGGAGCTGTCACTGCTGCACGTAACGGGGGGGCTGCCAGCTGGGCAGGTCCCCCCAAGGCACCGTGCCTTGCCCTGCACCGTGCTAGGCCTCACTGTGTCTGTGGGCCTGGGGTGCAGGACTGGGGAGAGGAGCGGAGCTTCCAGTTCCTGGCACCAATGGCCGCCTGAGCCACTTGTGCTTGCTGGACCTAGCTGGATGACAAAAGTGAAGTTGGCAGCAGCTGTGAGGGGCTGGAAAGACCCAGCCTCTTTCTCTCTCTCTCTCCCCCACCCGGGCCGAAGAATGAGCCTGGGGAGTCTCCACTGCTGGAGCCAGGTCGGCAGGGCTCAGGAGGTGGGGGCCGCCAAGTTGAGAGGGCCCCAGTCCTGTGGAGCGGTGAAGTGACCTGGTAGCTTCCCGCAGGCTGGGCATGAACCTCCCCCCCCCCATGGTTTCCTCTAGGCACCCATGTTCCACTGGACTCCTTGAAAGCAAATCTGCAGTGCAGACCCGGCATGTGTAAAAGTCAGGGCATGCTACCCTGCCACGCTGCAGGCTCAACCTGCTGGGCCCCTCCACACACCCCCAGCTGGGGGGCTTCACTAGCTGGGAGCCAGCCTGAATACACAGGGCTGCTCCCCAGGGCGATCTAGGGACTATTCCTGTAAATATTAGGACAGGAATCGTGTGCCTAGGCTGCATGTTCAGTGACCCAGGCCTAGTGCACACTAATGGGGCGCTGAGCTATGCAAGCAATCAGCTGCCTGCCCCATTGCACCCCCACCCGACACACGTGGGGCAGTGGGGCTCTTCGCTGGGGCTGCTGACACCGTTCCCACAAACTGGAATTTTTCTCTCATGAAATCAGGGTAGTTGCAAAATAGAAAAAAAATCCCCCCAACGCTCTTCTCCCGCCCCCATTGGGCAAGGCGGGAGCGTGGGTGCACATGTGAGCTGCTGTTACAACATCCCAGACACAGAGCTGGACGAGCTTCCTATGACTCAGCAATGCCACAATCCACACAGTGCACAAGCATAGGAGGAAAGGCCCCGCCTGAGCTGAGCTCCAGAGCACTGTGTGCTGGAGGCTGCTGAGGCGCTGGTGACGGGCTCCCTCCAGCGCTCTTGCTGTGCTCTGGAGCAGTGTGTGCCCGTGCCTGCGAAGGCTGCGGAGGCGCTGGAGACCGGCTTCCTCCAGAGCACTGGCTGTGCTCCGGAGCAGTGCGTGCCCGTGCCTGCGAAGGCTGCGGAGGCGCTGGAGACCGGCTTCCTCCAGAGCACTGGCTGTGCTCCGGAGCAGTGCGTGCCCGTGCCTGCGAAGGCTGCGGAGGCGCTGGAGACCGGCTTCCTCCAGAGCACTGGCTGTGCTCCGGAGCAGTGCGTGCCCGTGCCTGCGAAGGCTGCGGAGGCGCTGGAGACCGGCTTCCTCCAGAGCACTGGCTGTGCTCCGGAGCAGTGCGTGCCCGTGCCTGCGAAGGCTGCGGAGGCGCTGGAGACCGGCTTCCTCCAGAGCACTGGCTGTGCTCCGGAGCAGTGCGTGCCCGTGCCTGCGAAGGCTGCGGAGGCGCTGGAGACCGGCTTCCTCCAGAGCACTGGCTGTGCTCCGGAGCAGTGCGTGCCCGTGCCTGCGAAGGCTGCGGAGGCGCTGGAGACCGGCTTCCTCCAGAGCACTGGCTGTGCTCCGGAGCAGTGCGTGCCCGTGCCTGCGAAGGCTGCGGAGGCGCTGGAGACCGGCTTCCTCCAGAGCACTGGCTGTGCTCCGGAGCAGTGCGTGCCCGTGCCTGCGAAGGCTGCGGAGGCGCTGGAGACCGGCTTCCTCCAGAGCACTGGCTGTGCTCCGGAGCAGTGCGTGCCCGTGCCTGCGAAGGCTGCGGAGGCGCTGGAGACCGGCTTCCTCCAGAGCACTGGCTGTGCTCCGGAGCAGTGCGTGCCCGTGCCTGCGAAGGCTGCGGAGGCGCTGGAGACCGGCTTCCTCCAGAGCACTGGCTGTGCTCCGGAGCAGTGCGTGCCCGTGCCTGCGAAGGCTGCGGAGGCGCTGGAGACCGGCTTCCTCCAGAGCACTGGCTGTGCTCCGGAGCAGTGCGTGCCCGTGCCTGCGAAGGCTGCGGAGGCGCTGGAGACCGGCTTCCTCCAGAGCACTGGCTGTGCTCCGGAGCAGTGCGTGCCCGTGCCTGCGAAGGCTGCGGAGGCGCTGGAGACCGGCTTCCTCCAGAGCACTGGCTGTGCTCCGGAGCAGTGCGTGCCCGTGCCTGCGAAGGCTGCGGAGGCGCTGGAGACCGGCTTCCTCCAGAGCACTGGCTGTGCTCCGGAGCAGTGCGTGCCCGTGCCTGCGAAGGCTGCGGAGGCGCTGGAGACCGGCTTCCTCCAGAGCACTGGCTGTGCTCCGGAGCAGTGCGTGCCCGTGCCTGCGAAGGCTGCGGAGGCGCTGGAGACCGGCTCCCTCCAGAGCGCTGGCTGTGCTCCGGAGCAGTGTGTGCCCGTGCCTGCGAAGGCTGCGGAGGTGCTGGACACCGGCTCCCTCCAGAGCGCTGGCTGTGCTCCAGAGCAGTGTGTGCCAGTGCCTGCGAAGGCTGCTGAGGCGCTGGAGTCGGGCTCTCTCCAGAGCGCTGGCTGTGCTCCGGAGCAGTGTGTGCCCGTGCCTGCGAAGGCTGCGGAGGTGCTGGACACCGGCTCCCTCCAGAGCGCTGGCTGTGCTCCAGAGCAGTGTGTGCCAGTGCCTGCGAAGGCTGCTGAGGCGCTGGAGTCGGGCTCTCTCCAGAGCGCTGGCTGTGCTCCGGAGCAGTGTGTGCCCGTGCCTGCGAAGGCTGCGGAGGTGCTGGACACCGGCTCCCTCCAGAGCGCTGGCTGTGCTCCAGAGCAGTGTGTGCCAGTGCCTGCGAAGGCTGCTGAGGCGCTGGAGTCGGGCTCTCTCCAGAGCGCTGGCTGTGCTCCGGAGCAGTGTGTGCCCGTGCCTGCGAAGGCTGCGGAGGTGCTGGACACCGGCTCCCTCCAGAGCGCTGGCTGTGCTCCAGAGCAGTGTGTGCCAGTGCCTGCGAAGGCTGCTGAGGCGCTGGAGTCGGGCTCTCTCCAGAGCGCTGGCTGTGCTCCGGAGCAGTGTGTGCCCGTGCCTGCGAAGGCTGCGGAGGTGCTGGACACCGGCTCCCTCCAGAGCGCTGGCTGTGCTCCAGAGCAGTGTGTGCCAGTGCCTGCGAAGGCTGCTGAGGCGCTGGAGTCGGGCTCTCTCCAGAGCGCTGGCTGTGCTCCGGAGCAGTGTGTGCCCGTGCCTGCGAAGGCTGCGGAGGTGCTGGACACCGGCTCCCTCCAGAGCGCTGGCTGTGCTCCAGAGCAGTGTGTGCCAGTGCCTGCGAAGGCTGCTGAGGCGCTGGAGTCGGGCTCTCTCCAGAGCGCTGGCTGTGCTCCGGAGCAGTGTGTGCCCGTGCCTGCGAAGGCTGCGGAGGTGCTGGACACCGGCTCCCTCCAGAGCGCTGGCTGTGCTCCAGAGCAGTGTGTGCCAGTGCCTGCGAAGGCTGCTGAGGCGCTGGAGTCGGGCTCTCTCCAGAGCGCTGGCTGTGCTCCGGAGCAGTGTGTGCCCGTGCCTGCGAAGGCTGCGGAGGTGCTGGACACCGGCTCCCTCCAGAGCGCTGGCTGTGCTCCAGAGCAGTGTGTGCCAGTGCCTGCGAAGGCTGCTGAGGCGCTGGAGTCGGGCTCTCTCCAGAGCGCTGGCTGTGCTCCGGAGCAGTGTGTGCCCGTGCCTGCGAAGGCTGCGGAGGTGCTGGACACCGGCTCCCTCCAGAGCGCTGGCTGTGCTCCAGAGCAGTGTGTGCCAGTGCCTGCGAAGGCTGCTGAGGCGCTGGAGTCGGGCTCTCTCCAGAGCGCTGGCTGTGCTCCGGAGCAGTGTGTGCCCGTGCCTGCGAAGGCTGCGGAGGTGCTGGACACCGGCTCCCTCCAGAGCGCTGGCTGTGCTCCAGAGCAGTGTGTGCCAGTGCCTGCGAAGGCTGCTGAGGCGCTGGAGTCGGGCTCTCTCCAGAGCGCTGGCTGTGCTCCGGAGCAGTGTGTGCCCGTGCCTGCGAAGGCTGCGGAGGTGCTGGACACCGGCTCCCTCCAGAGCGCTGGCTGTGCTCCAGAGCAGTGTGTGCCAGTGCCTGCGAAGGCTGCTGAGGCGCTGGAGTCGGGCTCTCTCCAGAGCGCTGGCTGTGCTCCGGAGCAGTGTGTGCCCGTGCCTGCGAAGGCTGCGGAGGTGCTGGACACCGGCTCCCTCCAGAGCGCTGGCTGTGCTCCAGAGCAGTGTGTGCCAGTGCCTGCGAAGGCTGCTGAGGCGCTGGAGTCGGGCTCTCTCCAGAGCGCTGGCTGTGCTCCGGAGCAGTGTGTGCCCGTGCCTGCGAAGGCTGCGGAGGTGCTGGACACCGGCTCCCTCCAGAGCGCTGGCTGTGCTCCAGAGCAGTGTGTGCCAGTGCCTGCGAAGGCTGCTGAGGCGCTGGAGTCGGGCTCTCTCCAGAGCGCTGGCTGCTGCATGTGTCACACGCTTGTTAGTTGCTCAGGCGCAGGGGGAGGCAGGTCTTCTGGCAGCACTTCACTGGGGATGACAAGCTGAGTCGTAACCAGGCCCAGGCCAGTCACTCAGGCCCCAGGAGTCTTAGGAGGCTGCTCTCAAGCTCTGTTAATGCCCGTGTGTGGCCCAAGACCTGGGGCAGCAGGGACTCGTGTCTCGTGACCACCCTGGGAGGGGGTGGGTGCGTGAGGCTACAGAAATGACTCCTCCCTGGCCCGTGCTGGGCTAACACCTCGGAGCGCCAGACTCCCAGCCCTGTGCTGTAACCTGGCCTTGGGCCCTGCCGGTGCCAGGAGGAGCCTGCTGGCTCCTTCAGGGCAGGGGGCTGTGTGAAGGGGCCTGCTGCCACCAACAGTCCTGGCTCACAAGGTGCTGTGCACGGCCTGCTGCCTCCACAGCCCCCTCCCAGGCAGAGAGAGCAGCTGCTGAGTCAGGGAGGGATTCCCAGTGCCTGGCCCAGGCCACACCCTGGGAGCAGCAGCAGGTCCCTGGAGAAGTGCAGCTGCCAGGAAGAAGATGACGCACGCACCTGGGAACCTGCGCCTCCTCCCTGCCCCACCTCCTTTCCTTGCTCATTACTTGGGGGCAGAATCTTCCCAGCAGACAGGAAGGAGCCATGCTCCATTCTCAGGGATCCCTCCAAGTGCGGCTTTGCACAGCTGCTGCGTGGACCCAAGGTAAGAAGGTCCTTTGCTGGCCCATGTCCTGGTGGGAATCTCTGTGCCCCACCCCTTGGCTGCCTCCAAAACCCTCTTCCTTCCTCCACGACACTGCGCTTCCCTCCCTGAGCTGGGCCTCTGCCCTGTCCCCTGGCTTTCCCCAGCACTCCCCTGGCTTCTGAGCCCCCAGCCGGGCGCCCCAGGGCCTGTGGGATGGCTGCATGTCGGACAGTGCCCCACTGGCGCTGGGGGTGGGAAGGACGGGGAGCAGAGGAAGCTGAGGCCGGTGATGAGCTGCTCTAGCTGTTGCTTCTTCCTGCCTGGCAGGCTGAGTGGTGACTGCAAAGCTCAGTGCAGATAAGAGCAGTTTCCTCCCGCTCTGCGGTGCTGCCAGGTGGCCGCTTTCTGACCTGACCCCGAAGTCCAGGCGCTCGGCAGGAGGAGCAGCCGGCTCAGGCAGAGGTACAGCTGGCGAGCGGGGAGAGGGCTCCCGAGCAGCATGG